GATTTCTCTTGAGGACTGCATAAGGGCCTTTACTTAGAAATATATGTATGTAATTTTTCATGACTAACAATGGTTTCTTCCTTCCGGCTGCCTTCACTAACCGTTTGAAACCGTGCGGGTATGAGTGGTTTGCAAAAAATATTTCACACCAGGCAAATACAAATTAAAACAAAAAAACGAAAAACGAAAAACAAATAAGTAAATCAAGAAAAGCGCCGCACAGATAGCGCACAGATAACATAAATCTACCGACGGCTACAAAATACTAGTACTCTAATAAAAATCAACAGTCAAAACAACAACAACAATGCCAAAAGCAATTAGAACAAAGCGGCATAATCAAAAACCCCTTCACTTAGCCGCCAAGCATTTAAAACGACCTTGCGGTGCTGTTTACTTTTCAATTAAAAAATCAACGAGAATAAATAATTTACTTTGATTTAATCTTACTTTACAACACATTTGTTATTTTTTCGTTCGTTTTGTTCGTTTTTTTCTTTGTTGTTGTGTGCATTGCTTTAATAAATAAATACCCAGTTCCTTTTTTAGATATTTTTACGTTGTTGTGGTTTGCATTATTATCGTAAATAGAAAATTTGTGAGCAGATAATGAAGCTAAGTAGTAAATCGAAAATCAACACACGCGATCCACCTGTAAACAAACAAAAAAAAACAAGCCGGCGTACTACACAAGAGTAAACTGAATATGAGGATAACAACAAAAATAATATTAAAAAAAAAACGTTTTGTTTTCAGTGTTAGGGTTTAGAAGTTGTATATGTAGCTGTGAAGTGGGTGGGCAAAATGGGCACCACGTCACTGAGTTTATACGAGGCGGTAATCTAATCGAGGTGTAATGAATGAAATAGGAAGTCATGGTGGGAGAAGAATTGGAGCACCTTTTTTGTACTTTATTTAGCATTGTTGCGCTAGCAAGTGGAGCAGATTATAGAATTAAAGCTATTCACATACTATGGGGAGTTGAACAGCAGAGTGGCCGTTGATCTAACGCACTCAGGATATGGCTCAAGACAGGGGAAAACTTTCTAATAAATAATGCACTTATTAATGCCGGTGAGAATCCTTTAGAGCATAAAAAAGTAGCTGCTTTGACTTGAAGTTTCAGGGAGGAGATCTAACCAATACTTAACTGCGAAGGCGCATGCTTTTATTGCAGTTTATCTTTGTATAGTGTAAATGGTATCAACAATAGTTAATGCAGGTTGAGAATTGCAAACATTTATTAAACGTATGAAATAATTTCTAGGAAAATATGTAATACATAGAGCATGACGCTCAAAGAGGTAATGTTTTACATATGTATACCTTAGGAAGTGCTATTTGCAAATCTGGCAAGTAGGTAGCTCGGTGTTGCTGCCACTGCTACGCATGGACACACATAGGCCACCAGTTGATGGCCCTTTGTGATATCAGAACTACGCCTTGCTGAATAATTTTCAATCCTTGACGAAACTGGTCAGGCACCCTATGGTCACTAAAGAAAGGAGACCCCAGAAAGCGCAATGTGCTACTCTATAATACCGGACAGTTACAGAGGAGATGCAAAACGGTCGCCTCCTCCTCTTAGTTTTTGCAACTTCTGCAGCATCTGTGGTAAGGCAGTCGGAGCTGCTCAGCCTGTTTACCTATTTATAACACAGTTGCCTGTTAGAGCACCAATTGTGTGATATATATCCTACCTCTTTAGAGAATATAATCTTTGAGACCTTTTTCAATTTCACCTAGGCCAAGTTTGCCTAGGATTTCGGATTCGACAGGTCGTAGTTTGCATCCAACTCTCGTTCCCGCAATTATAGATAAATTCTCTTAAAAGCAGCTTGCAGTTGGCGAAGGGCGTACTATCGCAAAAAAATTTAGAAAAAAGGTTTTTTCTTAACAGCGGTCGCCCCTCGGCAGGCAACGGAAAACCTCCGAGTGTATTTCTGCCATGAAAAACAGCTCTCATAAAAATACAATCGCCGTTCGGAGTCGGCGTACAACTGTAGGTCCCTCCGCTTTGTGTGACAACATCAAGTCGCAAGCCACAAGTCGGAGGAGAAGCTCGGCCAAACACTAACATATGTGTAAGCGCCAATCTATTATTATTATTATTTTCTACACAACGGTCTGTATACTCCGGATGAAAGCTATATTTTTTAAGAATACAGGAGTGATCCTGCAACCCCGATTTACTTTCTCATGTCTCTCTTATCCCAAGTGCAGCAAGAAATACCATCTGCTGATCCGCTAGATCTAGTGGCATAAGATCCAAGAAGACATTTAAAGCATCATTTGGTGTTTTCCGGATTGCTCCGCTGTTGCAGATTATGCTAGTCCTCAGTACTTTGCTGAGTAGATTAAGAATAGAGGCCTTGTCAAAGGCAGACCACTATGATATAATTCCATAAAGGAGAATCCATTCGGTCTCAACTCCCATTTGTTACCAATGGACGTGCCAAGGACGCATTCTCATAACGCTGGAAACATAATCCAGTTCAGTTTTCTGTCGAGAATGACGCATAAGAATTTCCCCTTATTCGTAAAGCTTAGAAGTCGCCCATTTAGCTCCGGCGGAGTCAGTAGCGATGTCTTCCCGTGAAGTGAAATAGTTCCACTTTTTCCGAATTAACGCAGAGGCCACAACGCGTGGACAATCTTGATGCATCGCTAAGAGGCCTCTGCATCAAGTCGCATAGAGTTTGCGGTAATTTTCCGCATGAGCGACAATCTTGGCGCTTACCGATTTAGTCTCCCACAAGATGGACTTCGCGGTTTAGTTCCAAAAGAGTGGCAAGAGCACACCACCCTGCGGTGTGCCCCTGTCACATATTTTCAAGCCCAGTTCTCAACGATGTGTGCCATGATCACCCTGCACAAGAGCACCTGCCTTATAAACTCCACCAGAGAATCGTACACCTCCAGACCCCTCAAAGTCTGTGTTGTGGCCTCTGAATTTATGTTGTTAAAAGCTCTGTTAATGTCTAGAAAGGCTACAAGACAATAGTCTTTGTAACTGAAAGACTTTTCAATAAAGCTTACCATGCTGTGCGGCGCAGTCTCTGTGGACGTGCCCTTCTGTTAGGCATGTCGATTGTTAGACCGTAGTCGACTGTCAATGGTGACAGATGGGTAATTACTAATTATCCTCTCTGGGTTTTAAGCACAAAGGAGGAAAGGCATATAGGTCTGAGACCCTTTGCATTTGTATGTGAAGCCTTACCGGCTTTTGGAATAAAGACAACGGAAACAGATCTCCAGACCGCCGGTATGCAATTGACCTCCAATTAATTAATCCAGCAAGTAGTCGAATAAAAAATTATGGGGCGACTTAGTTGAACGCCAACATATTTCAACCTATGTGAGACTCTTCTTTCCCAACCAGTGTTCCCTAACCTAACTAGCCTTTGTCGTTAGAAACGCGCCCTCTTTTGATCGGTAGCATAGTGAGATGTCCGTTATTGTTTTTCAAAGTAGATTGCAAAGCTATTCACTTTTGAAGGGAATCTCAGTCAATTGATTTAAAAATTTTTTACTCTCGAGTTTTACTGCATAACATGGCTTGAAAGTTGTAATGCAATGCGACTTAATGCTTTATCGCTCAGCTTTCAAGCGGATAAGATATGTACCTGAACTGGTTCACGTGGTTGCTGATCAACTTGCCAGCACATTTAGTTTGCAAATGGTCCCTTTGTAATACCACGGGGATCTCGAAAACCACTACTTTCGCCGAACCTATCCGTAGAGCCATCGAATCTGAGCAGCTGCTTTATGCTCAACTTTGCCCAAAAATTTGTGTAGCCTCCTCCTTAGTTCAGGACATTCACATAGTAAATGCCTAATAGTTTCGTGCTATTTTTTTATCAAAGCAGCTCATGCAGAAGTCGTTGTGGGCACTCTGCTCACGTTAGTTTAGCTGAGTGAGATAAACAAGAGTATTCCTATTTTGGGAAAATTCCCTAATTCTGAGCTTTGAGGAAGCGAGCGGCATGTCAAACCTCTTTCAGGACAGTCAAAGTGGCGCAGAAGTACACTGTATTGCAAGCTCGCCTGCTTTCTCGTTTCCTGTTATATCACAATGTCCTGGTACCTATACCAGATGCAAAGCGAACTGATCTGCTATGACATTGAAGGATTTTCGGCAATTCGCTACCGTATGTGAATTTATCATGACGGAATCAAGTGTATTTATAGCAGCTTAACTTTCGGAGTAGATTTAAATTATATTTGTTGTGACAGCTATGTGACGTATACAATCAGCAGCTTCTTGCATAGCCGCTATTTTGGCTTGAAAGACACTACAGAGGTCTGGGAGGCAGAAAAAGGACGCCAACCCTAGTTGCTCAGCTTATACTACTCCGTCTACCTTGTTATCAAGTTTGGATCTATCAGTGTAGATCGAATTTATATGCCATTCTGACCATAATTCTATACTTGTTATCCCTGTGGACGTTATTCTTTCCAACTTTTTAGTTCTTGTAGCCTTAAGGCAACGTTTGCGGCACATTAAATGAATTGATTCAGAACATAACATGGCCGATGTGCGTGTTGTCCGCAAGGCACTACTGATACGGATTAGCGCCATCCTTTGTACCGTCTTTTCTCTAAGCGATCAGGTTGGTCGAATACGAATTTCGTTTTTGAAAATGTTTGCAACATATGGATTCGTCAGGGAGTGGAGACGGAGAAGATATGGTTCTGAAGCTCCGAGAGTTAGTGACTTATACTGTAGCAGAGAGCTGGATATTCTAGCCAGAACGCCCACTCAAATTCAGATCTCGCCCATCAGTGCACTGAAAGCTTAGTTTAGGTAAATGAAAGAAGCCGTAATATAAGACTTTTTTTGATGTTTATGTTACAAAACCATTTCAAACATAGAAATGAAATAACGTACGAAACGCGTAAAAGAGAGTCCGCGATTTTCTTTTTCTTTGCCTCTTTTTATAAGTTTTAATAATATACATACTACCTATACTTAAGTGCTTTTTTGTAAATCGACTTACTTTTGCGCTTGCAAACAGCTGATTAATGCTTGTTCTTCTCTATCCAACTGACATTTGTTGGTTTGTGTGTAAACAAATTCAAATTACGGGAATTTAGTGACACATTCGATGAGTTGCGGCAGAAGAGCCGGTGATTCTTACAGCAATCGAATAATTTAATTGCATCTTAGTTTAAATGTAGAATTAACTGAGTGAATTTACTCGTTGACACTTTTGTGATGCACGCCGTTTTAGTTTTATTTTTTTGCAACAGAGACAATTTAAATTTTTTTAGTTTTTTTTTTACTTTCTTATGATTATCGACACATTTTTCCAAATTTTAACGTCCCCAAATGGCTTCAGGCTTTTTTAAAGCGGCCTTTTATTGCAGCAGAATTTTTTAATTTTCACATTTTCGTACTTATGTATGTATGTACGTAGTAATTTTACACTTTTTAATAATTTTTTGCTTCCACACTACTCAATTATTTTAATTGACAAGTATGTATTTACTTAACTTAATGCAAATCAATTGAGTTTTACACTTGACACATGCACATCAACATTTAATAACCGTTAATGGAGCTGCTGTCACTACGATGCCTTTTCTGCGCCTTTGCCAGCTGAGGTTACCATGATTTATTAATTAAAAGTGACTTTCAATTAAAAATATAAAAATTTAATTTAATTTACTACTACCAGTTTTATTATTTTACGGATAGTTAACTAATAGACGTAATCAAGTTGCGCGTGAACACACACATGCAAACACACAAAAACTTGCGCATTTACACCTACACAGATAAAAAAGGAGCACTGCAAGCTGGCAATGCTGCAACGTAAATAAACAAATGAAGATGTACGCGTCGTGAGCGGAGATGGAAGAAGAGCAAGAGCAGGAAGCAACTGAGCATTAATGTCGAACATTTCCTGCCGAAGCAGAGAGTGCCAAGAGCAAGACTGAATCTCGTTTGGTAGTGTGCGTGTAGATTTGACTTTTCGTGAGCGTGATTTTAAAATGTAAATGTCAAACTTTATCGTAGCCAAGGCACATAAATACCATGTATCGTAGCCACAGTTTCACTGACAGCTATAATGGCACTCTACTAGCAGTGTTGCCGCTGCCCAAAAATAAAATTTACCAAAATCGTTCAAAAAATTTACCAAATTCTGTTAAAATTAAGCAACTTATTTAACGGGCCTTAATAAAACGATAAATGCTTGGATATACATAAGTACTAGTTTGAATAAAGCCGTATTTGGGCATTTTTACCAAGCTTGGTTAATAGTTTATAGAAATAAAAAGTAAGTGGAGGCAATATAAGGCCCACTTTTGTCGTCAAAAGTAAGGATTTGGACAATTTGAAAACAATTACACATTCTTTTAGGCTTTTAAAATTTTAATAATAATATGTAATATAATAGTTAGCTGCCCTTTCACTAGTTTTTTGGACGCATGCATAAAACCAGTTTGGTATCATGTTATCCATAATGTGCGTTTTGATCTTGTCACACAAATGAGTTCTACGTCCTATCCTAACGGCAAATGGTTTTTATGAGAAGCGATTTCATGGCAGAAGCACACTCGGAGGTTTGAAAATGCGACGACCCTGGATTGGGCGCCTTCCTAAAATAAAATTGAAAATTTTATTGAAATGGTAACTCTTCTGACTATGAACGTTTGAGGAAAATAATCTCTGTTGACTATTTTTATAAAAAAAAATTTTGCAAAACGAAGAAAAATTTAGCATTTTAACAGGCAGGAAAAAGTTAATAAATTTTGCTTATTTTCAAGCAAAACGGCAACGCTGTCTACTAGCCAAGTGACAGCTGTGCATAAAAACAGGTGAGAGAGCGCACGAGCTCGCTATATTTTATAAACTGACTGGGCAGCATTGGCCTGCTGTCTGCTACTTGCTGCCGTGCGCGCCCACCCACCCTTTCACAAGCGAGCAGATGCCCCACACAGATACACACGCATACAAGCGCACGCTGTACACGTATAGTATGTGCGTGTGTGAGAGCGTGGCGCTGTGGCAATAAAAATGCTCTCAGCAGTAATCTAATTGGCACTGTGTATAGTTTTTTTCGTTCAACAAGAAAATTTGTAGATACACAGAGAAGTGCTGATACACGAAACTGATGATGAAGCGTATGTAGAGTAAAATGTAGGGGAAAAAACACACAAAAGCGTATAAAGCGTCGTAAAACAATAGATTTAGTAGCCGAAAAAAGTTAAGCGCACACAGAAAAAAATTTTAAAATTAAAAAAAATAAGTTGCGTTAACTGGAGGAGCATTGCTGTATGCGCCAACGACCGCACTCTACACATACTTGCATGTGCGCGCGTGTTTGTGCGCTCTCTCCTTTTGGATGAACGCGTACATATGTGTGTGAGCGCTACTACTATGCATTTGTGCCCTGCGACGTGGAGGCGAGCTGAAAGCGGGTGGCAAGAAACTCATTAAAAAGTGGGCGCGTTTGAGAAAATTATAAATCGCACATAATGTTTGACAAATTACATACTTCTATTTAAACTTCAGCAGACATGAAATTGCAAATTTTAATTATATGCAAGGAAAGTCATGGCAAAAAGTAGTAAATCTATTGAGTTGTAATGGAGAATATATGTATATACGAATCTGCTATGCTGCGCTCTTTGTCCAATAAGATTCTCATTGTTGTTTTTGCTATTTTTTACGCTGCTAGCCGTAAGCGCTTTTTCTGCATATACATAGTAGCTTACAAACATACATACAATATGTACCACATATGTACATACGTCCACAGCAGCAGTCAGGCAGTCAATCAGTCAGTAAGGCAGCCAGTAATTTCAGCCGCTTTTATGGCCCAACTCGTCTGCCACTATTTTATTTTTTATTACATTCATTTCTGTTGTTGCACGGCATGCAGCAGCGGCAACACTCGTTGTATGTGCGCGCGTTTGTACAGTAGTAAATATGCATGTATACATATGTACGTATTTATGTATGTATGTAAGTATGTTGGCTTTTTGTGCTAATGCATACATACTTTCAAGCGCGCCCTTGCCTTCGTGTGCGTGTGTGTGCGCTATGGTCGCACATTTCATTTATTCAACAAGATTGTATGCACATACATATATTCAACACATACATATGTATCTGTGTATGTGTGTTTTATGGTATGCATGCAAGCGAGTGTCTCCGTATGTTTGTATGGATGTGCGTCCAGCGCTCGCATCGCACAGTGCGATTGCCACTCGTTCATTTCCCGCCGCCCGCACCCCCTCAACAAACGACAGGCTATACAGCATACCTACTCTACACTAACTACACTTTGTGCGCCACAATGCTTTTTCCACCCCCTGCCTACTTCCGCTCGTCGCACGTTTGACTGGAAATTTTTCTTCACATTAGCGTCTTCACTTTTTCTTCACTTAAATTTTTTCAATTATTTGGTGGATTTTTATACAAACTTTGTTTTTTTTTCACTTATAGGTACGCCAGTGCTTTCACTCACTTTACTAATTTGCCTACGATTTATGTATGTATGTATGTATTTATTTATTTTCTGTAATTTACTCGCACTAGCTGTGCTTAGTCCTTTGTTTTACGAGTAATCTGCCCCACACGCTTTGTCTTACTACTGCAACACTGCGGCACCACTACTGTCCAGTCAACGCGCACTCCTGTCCGCTTTATTTGTTAGCACTCGCACTCGCAATTTGCTTATTTTTCACTTCATTTCCATACGCATGCAAAGCACTTCTGTAATTCACGTTTTTTTTTTTTGCAATTTTTCTCGTTACTTTTAATTCAACTAAAAGTTAATAGCGTTTTTAATGTCGTCCTAATACTGCAAGCTGTTGCAGCTACACTCACTACACGAAATACGGGACACTGAACAATCTTCTCCTAAATACACCCAACTCCCGCCGTGGGTGGGTGGCCCGTTGTTGCTGGTTGACTGCCTGGCCGACCGTTTGGTTAGTTCGTCGTTGGTTGTAACCGCACTGCGCTGGCGTTGGTGTTAAGCGGGGCGGGTGGGGGCGCCAATAAGTGGAAATCCGAAAAATTCCAACCGTGCGCACACAACATACCAACGAGATTTTCAATTTAATACTAAATTTTGTTTGCATGCCAAACGGGCGAGCGCAGCTGCACCACCACTAAGGCACAAAGTTGCGTTCAGAGAGAGGAAATCACGCACACATACAGAGGAGGTGCCATGCTCATGTACGCATGGCAAATGCAATGGCGTTCTCTGTGATCACTGGCTTGTACGTACTTGCATATGCATGGGTTTTGGTAGTGGTATGCATGCATTTGTATGTACATTTGCAAGGGAGTGTTGATGGCCATTCAACGGACTTTTAGCTGATATTTTGCTATCGAGGTTGACATTTACGCTAACTTGGCAGCACTGCTGCTGGTAAATGTCCAGCGGATGTACCAACTAATCAAAGTTTGGCTGGCTTTAAAGCTGAATCGGATGTGAATTACATTAGGAATGTTTTTAATTAATTTATATGTATCTGCATATACATAATATACTTATAGTCAAGTAAACTATCATTATTTAAGGACTATTTTTGATATAGATGTGGAATATCTTTGGCAAATCTAGTATCCGGCTAATGTTTATTTGTGTTAAAGTGCCAACGAAGAAGAACATATCCCATTCCGCGACTTTGATTGCGAGCACCCTTCTCTTCTTCTTATTTGGCGCTGTAACCGCCGGCCGATGTGGTGTAGTGGTAAGCAGTGCGCGCTTCCACTACGCAGGGCCTGGGTTCAAGCCCTGGTCAAAGCAACATCGCAAAAAAATATAGAAAAAAGGTTTTTTCTTAACAGCGGTCGTCCCTCGGTAGGAAATGGCGAACCTCCAAGTGTATTTCTGCCATGAAAAATAGCTTCTCATAAAAATACAATCACCGTTCGGAGTCGGCGTAAAACTGTATGTCCCTCCCCTTTGTGTGACAACATCAAGGCGGACGCCATAAATTGGAGGAGAAGCGCGGCCAAACACTAACATATGAGTAAGCGCCAATCTATTAACCGAGCGATTTTGCCCGAGTTCAACAAAGCACACCAGTTGTTTCTCTTCTGTGCCAACTGTCGTCAATGGGAAATGCCAAGTGAAGCCAAGTCCCTTTCCACATACCAAGCCACCGGAGCCGCAGTGTTTTAATTCGCTGCACTATGTCTATATCATTGTAAAGCTCGTGCAGCTTCCATCGTCTGCGGTACTCGCCGTTGCCAAGGCGTAAATGCCCGTAAATCTTCCGCAAGATCTTTCTCTCGAATACTCCAAGAGCCGCCTCATCGAATGTTGTCATTATCCATGCTTCTGCGCCATATACCAACACTGGCATGATGAGTGACTTATAGAGTGTGGTTTTCGTACGTCGAGATAGGACTTTACTTCTGAATTGCCTACTCAGTCCAAAGTAGCACTTGTTGGCCAAAGTGATTCTGCGTTGGATTTCCATGCTGACATTATTATCGGTGTTAATGCTGGTTCGCAAGTAAACTAAATTCTCTACTTTCTCAACATTATAACTGTCAAGNCGCTTCCACTACGCAGGGCCTGGGTTCAAGCCCTGGTCAAAGCAACATCGCAAAAAAATATAGAAAAAAGGTTTTTTCTTAACAGCGGTCGTCCCTCGGTAGGAAATGGCGAACCTCCAAGTGTATTTCTGCCATGAAAAATAGCTTCTCATAAAAATACAATCACCGTTCGGAGTCGGCGTAAAACTGTATGTCCCTCCCCTTTGTGTGACAACATCAAGGCGGACGCCATAAATTGGAGGAGAAGCGCGGCCAAACACTAACATATGAGTAAGCGCCAATCTATTAACCGAGCGATTTTGCCCGAGTTCAACAAAGCACACCAGTTGTTTCTCTTCTGTGCCAACTGTCGTCAATGGGAAATGCCAAGTGAAGCCAAGTCCCTTTCCACATACCAAGCCACCGGAGCCGCAGTGTTTTAATTCGCTGCACTATGTCTATATCATTGTAAAGCTCGTGCAGCTTCCATCGTCTGCGGTACTCGCCGTTGCCAAGGCGTAAATGCCCGTAAATCTTCCGCAAGATCTTTCTCTCGAATACTCCAAGAGCCGCCTCATCGAATGTTGTCATTATCCATGCTTCTGCGCCATATACCAACACTGGCATGATGAGTGACTTATAGAGTGTGGTTTTCGTACGTCGAGATAGGACTTTACTTCTGAATTGCCTACTCAGTCCAAAGTAGCACTTGTTGGCCAAAGTGATTCTGCGTTGGATTTCCATGCTGACATTATTATCGGTGTTAATGCTGGTTCGCAAGTAAACTAAATTCTCTACTTTCTCAACATTATAACTGTCAAGAGTGACGTGGGTGCCAAGGCGCGAATGCGCTGACTGTTTGTTTGATGACAGGAGTTACTTCGTCTTGTCCTCGTTAACCGCCAGACCTATTGTTGTTGTTGCTGTTGTAGCGGCTACAACAACCCCGCCCAGATCGGTTGATATCTCAGTCGTTGTCGTCAAGTTCCACTAACGGCAGCCCTAGGAAGCGTGCAGCCTCTATCGGGTCGGTCCACAAGGACAAAGCCGTTAGGGTTGTCGGGTTTTCCGGGTATGCGAAGAGATGTTTCGAGTCATGTGGGGTCGCTCCGCATGCCGGACACTCATTTGGCACATCCTCATTCAATCTACTTAGGTAGGAGTTTAACCTGCTGCAGTAGCCAGAGCGAAGTTGGGCTATTGTCGTTCGTGTCTCCCGAGGCATATGAAGCTCCGTCTCGCCTATTTCCGTTGGTGGCATGCCTAGAACGGCATTCACAGGTCTAGAGTCCACATAACTCGAGACTGACTCCCTGTGAATGCCGTTCAAGGTCAGTCGGTAAGCTGACGGGTCCAGAGGTTGCTTGATGAACCTCTATGACCACTATATCTTCTAGTAGCGTGGAATGGCAGACGGTGACAAACGCCTTTGACAAATCCAACGGTACTAGAATCGTTCTCTCACAGGGACGGTTTCGGTTAAAGCCACGAGTTATCTGAGTGTTTATGGCGTTAAGTGCTGTTGTTGTACTGTGCACTTTACGGAAACCATGCTGATGCTTTGCTGGGGTCATGTGGTTTGTGAAATACGGGAGCAGCAACGCCTCGAGTGTCTTCGCTACCGGGGAAAGGAGTGTTATCGGCCGATAAGAATCTCCTTTGTTGTCAGGTTTCCCCGGTTTGAGCAGAGGGACCACTCTCCCCACCTTCCAGATGTCTGGGATGATGAGAGTGGCCATAGACAAATTGAGGACCTCCGTTAGGTACGCTATCCCCGCAAGACCCAAATTTTTCAGCATCAGCATGCATATTCAATTCAATTCATTTCAATTCATTTATTATTAAGTCAATGGCAAAAAGCCTTACTGACTAGATTTACAGATTCCTTAAACTTAAANAATTCATTTATTAAGTCAATGGCAAAAAGCCTTACTGACTAGATTTACAGATTCCTTAAACTTAAACTTAAAACTAATAAAATATTAAATCAATGGCGGATTATCGCGGTAGTAAGATTCAATATCTGCCTTGAAATGGGACCTTGACATTGCGAAATCGAGATCAATAATTCTGCATGTCATATTCCGTCGGGACCCATGGCTTTGGAGGCTTTCGCCTTCCCGATGGCCACCTGAACTTCACCACAAGCGAAAGCAAGGGGGGCACAGGTTGTTGGCAGTTTGTGCAGTAGGGTGGTCCAAAAACAGTAAACTCGGAATTGTAATGCTCTCACCCCTAGGATTGTTCTATATCGAAAAAAAGTATACCGCTATTTTTTTATTTTGAAATCAAAAAATATTTAGGTCGCTCAAAGCGCTCAAAGTTTTCCATGTATTTTTATATGAGAAAAAAACAACTTTTCGTAGAAATGGTATAGAATTCTTGAAAACGAATATTTTTCGATCGGAAAACACTGGTTCTCTTCAGGAGACTTTCAGTAATAAGACCCAATTGTTTATTTAACCATTTTTTAATACTAACGATTTTTTATTGGTCCCCCCATTGAATTTTTCGGGGGTTTTGGCGGACCTATAAATTAAAGTTGCGATGAAAAAATGATTAAATAAAAATTTTGGTATTATTATTGGGAATCTGCTGCAGACAAATTGAGTTCTCTCATAGAAAAATATTGATTTTTAAGAATTCTATACCATTTCTACGAAAAGTTGTTTTTTCCCCATATAAAAATACATGGAAAACTTTGAGCGCTTTGAGCGACCTCTAAATATTTTTTTATTTCAAAATAAAAAAAATAGGGGTATATTTTTTTCGATATAGAACAATCCTAGGGGGTGAGAGCATAAAAATTCCGACTTTACTTTTCCACGTGTATTTTTGGACCACCCTATTGTGCAGCCTTCTGGTCACTCGACGCTTGGCTTTGGCCCTTATTATGAGCTGCATTCGATTTTCGATCTTCGCTGGCTATCGAAGATCGAAAGTGAAATTCGTATTATGAGCTATGCAAGCGTGTCGAAAGTTTCGTTGAGTATCGAATTTTCTGTCGAACAGAATTTTGCTTTCGATGGTGTAGCGAAGTGTTAGAAAATTGTGAAAAATGTATGATTTTGTATATGTTTTCTTACATTTTGGCGGCTAGACACTAATTTTAAACAATTTTTATTAATTTCATGCAGTTCTAACATCGTGAATACTAAACACAAACTCGAAAGGCTGGTTTTACTTGTGAAAGAAAAACCCAATACTGTTGGCACGATCTCTGAGAACAAAATCGTAGCGTTGTTGATAGTTTTAAAATATTTTAAATAGATTTGGCTCACAAACGCCACTTTAGATGGTCGGAACTTTTTAATGAATCTGTAGACAAATTTCTTAAATATATTTTATATCAAAATATATTCGAAAGACTAATAAACTTAAACTCTCTTAAACATTTGCTACTCCTGGCCAGTTTACTAAGCTCTCATCCTCTGACGAATCGTTGAACCAGAACTCGTTGTACTCATTTTACCACGTTTTTATAAACTTGCTTTCTTTTTTACTTCATTTTAATTAGAACAAATTTACATAAATATGTATAAGCACACTATTTAGTTTGCTCGATTTG